CAGGAATGGCGTGGCATCCTTCGGGTTTGCGCTCGGTCTTAGTAGGATAAGCACAGGTGCCGATGAGGTGAATACACGGCGTGTTGGGGGTCAACTGGAGTAAAAACAGTTCATACTGAATAACTGTAGAACTGGTTGTAACACGACTGCGCCCGCTCCAACCAACCAAGCAAAGATGCACACTGCTGATGTTGGTTTACTCGACCGGTCGTGTTATTGTGCATGTGATCGAGCTAACCTGCAAGTGGCCGATGCTGGTTTTCTTGACCGGTCGAGTTATTGTGCATCTGGTCGAGCTAACCGGTCGGGCTAACCTGCAAGCGGCTGATGCTGGTTTACTCGACCTGGCGAGTTGTTGTGCATAAGGTCCAGTTATTAATATTGGACTTGGAGTTGCCATTAGAGAAAAATGTGCCAATCATACAGAACTGTAAATACACGTCACGTTTTTGATACTATTTAAAGTACTTCGAAGGTGATTCCGGCTTTGTTGCGTACACATCTTTTTGTTAGTGCTGTTTAGCCGGAGCCCGCAAATCTTTTGCTGGCGCCCCAAAGCAAAGTGATTTGCTTGCTGAAACCGATTTGATTTTGCTGGCACCCTATATTCTTTTGTTTTCACCCTAAAATGTGTTTGCTCGCACCCCGGTCTCGAGGCCCATGTGGACCCCTACCATATTACGTCAACGTTTGCAAATCATTTGACTCTATTATACCCAATTGCGTCTTAGAAATTTGATGGTAGAGGTCCATCCGGACCACTACGAATGGCAATCCGCCCAGTAGCTAAAGGCTTAGGCTTCCCGCAGATCCATTTTTGCAACTGTTTATTTTAGCTTTGTTGTCAAATCTGTCTAGAACACTCTCCAACTCGATGAATAATGGTCTAGTGACTGCCGGCGACGAAAATTTGTTAACACGCGAAAGTATTGCTCAGTGGCCAAATTTGCACAATACACCTCAGGAATTCTCGGTGGCAGTGGCAAATTTTAAATGTGCTTCTATATTGCAACAGAATTACATAGAAGACCTCTTTCATCAGATCAGCTTTGGCAGAGCTGTAAGTTTCTTTTTCCGCACAAACTGCCGGTACAGCGTACGATACGCGACTTTTTTATTACAGCAAAGACCGAGAATCGTTATGTCAACAACTCACGAATTCATCCTTTGAGAAATACTCCGTACGTTTTTGCAGTTAGAAAAAGAAATGTTGACGGTGACACGAATGTTGACCGACCAAGGTAACATTACGCGTTTCGATCTACAGAATACCGTGGAACTAATCCTGCGTTCTATATGGCATTCCCAGTAATATCTGCAATCAGCGTATTGAAATCGCTTACTTCTCTGTCCCACCAATTATAGGAATTGTTTTTTGTTTTTTAAAGTCGCACAGCCAATATGAGCTTGGTAAAAGTCTAAGTATCCATGTTCGGAAGCTTGAGTCAGCGTGCTATTTGCTAACTTTTTTGTGACTTTATAGCAGCGACCAGCAAGTAAATAACGCCATGAATGTGGGCTCATGTTTGGAGGGAATTCTGTTATTTTTGGGAATTCCTAGGCTTATTTGCGATAATTAACAAAACTTGCAGTAAATGCTCATTTCGATATGGTGATCCTATACACATCAGCGTAATCACGATCGACGTGTGTATTAATAGCACTCGCTAATAGGCGCTCAATTACAAACGGTTTTACTGCTCGTTAAGTCGATATGTATCAAATCAGAGGAAAATGTCATCAAATCATTGGAAGAAACACGATATCAGCCAATGGGATCATTGTAACATTTTTCGTGTATAACACACAAGAACGAAATCCCTATAAATTGATGGGACAGAGAAGTATGTTACTCGGCTCCTGCTAAATGACCAATCAGATACAGGCAATCCAGGGCGAAAAAAAAGCGTCCGAAAGGGAAAGACTGGAAAGGCAAGTATCTACGAAGACGGTAAGGGAAAATGCCAATTAAGGGCCGTTCAAAGCAACCTTCTCTTGTTTTGATTGTATCTTTTGATCTATTAAAAAGCAAAATATGGCCTTGGCATCAATCAAAAGCTGACACAACTGTATATTTCCCTGGCTATTGAATTGTTTTACATCAGCTATGGTGCGTTCAGTAGGACAAATTAAAACAGTGCATAAAATGTGACGGCCGTGCCAATTAAGGGCCGCTTGATTTCACTATGGGTTGCTTAGTAATCTCTTATATGATACCTTAGTAGTGGCCAATGAAAATAGATAAGCCTGAAATTCCGAATTGCCTATTGGCTAACCGAATCCGGCCTAATTGGCATTTTCCCTTATTTGCGTTCGATATTAAGTTACATTTGCTAGGTTTCTACGTTAAACTTGATTATATGGCGCTCTTACGACGGTAGTGACATTCATCTACTCGGTGTGAGCACCGCAACAGGACGCCTCGACTGATCGATCGTTAGGCTTTGAGACCACTCCAGCAAAAAATCGGTGTAGGTCCTGCTCTTCTGCGAAAGATGATGCTTCTCTGTTGGATTTGTAGTGGGGGGGTCCGAGGATCGTCTCTTTGTATGCCTAAATCGCCTCAAATATCTACGAATATTTTTAAACAGCGCTACTATCAAAGTGCTAACATCATGAAGCACACCGCCGCATGTATCTAGGTTTATGCAAGTAATCTAGCGCTCATTCACTTGATAAATTCGATCCTTTAAATATCAAATTTACGCGCCTATTTCCGCACTTATTTTTTCCTGTGTTTTTCTCGATTGTTCGCCCTACTTTCCAGGACCTCAAAGATTTAGCTCATTCCCACTGGTTATATGATCCACTCAGATCCAGTCGTGATCGCATGACACGGTGGCATACTAATCCTATGTATCTAAATTTTAGTACCATAATTTGATATTATTTTATTCTACACGGTACCATATTACAGTTTCTTTATTAACAACTCAGAAATACATGTAAAAACTTGGCTATTTTAATAATTCAATGATATGGTACAGTGTAACTGTATTCTACCAAATTATGATACATTGTTCATGTTTCTTTGAGCACTCTTCAAACGTTATGTAGTAACAATACGTTGGTGGAATCCAACATCTGCATGAGGTACAGTATGCCTTTTCGTGCTCGCAAATAAAGGTCACTATTGACTGTGGTTCCTCAAGAGATTTATTTGGGGGCATGTACTTTATGTACAAACTCTTCAGTTGCAAAAAACAGCGCATTGTAACTCACGATGGAAGGACATTCAGCTTGTTCATGAAGAGTATGCCAATTTGTGCTCGCAATCAATGATCACTGTTGCTCTCTAAAACTGTATGGTACAGCGCTCATGTACGAGTACCGGTAATGGAAAACTTCAGCTGCAAAAAAAACGCATACGTGGTAATTACTACGGAAGGAGAGTTAACTAGTTGGTCCAACGCGTAATAATAAGAAGCATTTCTCGCTGTTAAATGCAGATAATTAGCGAATTCTTAAATTATGTTAAATGTCGTTTCATGATGTGGTTGCCGACACCTGTACAACACCAAATAGTGAGGGATATTGAGGATACCTTATCCTACCTGTGTTAAATAACGATGCTAAACTTGGATTAGTTTGTCCGAGCCGGCTTCAGTGTTTTCACCCTTACATTTAATCCCAATCTTTAAAGAAAAAAGATGGAAATACACAGTACACAGATAGCTTTATTAAAAGCTCATAAATTCACATTTGTAGAAACCCAGTTCATTGCCAAGTACGCATGCGAGTAAATGATACACGTAGGTGCCGATTGAATTATAAAAAAGTAAGAATTTCCCATTACTCTCCATGCATATATATTTATAATCCACGCCTTGTGAATGCTTGTACTGTATAACATGTAATTAGAGCATGAAGTTTATTAAATTAGACTACTTTTGCCTGTTTTAAAGAGCTGAAAACACTGTACTGCTCTTAGTGTTTCTGTCCTTTTAGGCAGGCTTATACCGATATTAGAAATTATAAAATCTAATCCAGTAGTTCTCTTGACCGATACGCTGACAAGGTGCAGCCGAAATTGCATACATGAAAGCGTAAAGTTGAAGGAGGAGATACATCTCTTCAAAACCATCGTTAATAGATAAATTGCTAAACCGTCGGTGAATGTGCGATTTCTAATCTAGAAGAAAAAAAAGATTAAGTGAAATCAGGCCAATCCAAACTCATATTTAAGCAGGTGAAGTGTTCCGACAACCGGCCAGTCTGGCATTTACAGCAGCACCCGCTAATAAGAGGAAGAAACACGTCGGAAATATGGAACCGCAGGCTCAAGGACTCTTTCTACTGGCTCACTATCAATCCTAACATTACAAACTGCCCACAAAGCACCGAAGAAGCCAGAAAATCGATCGATGTGATGCGCAGCGGCGGTGGTCTATTTGCCAGCAACCGAGCAGGTCGAGGTCGAAGAGAACGATGGTTTGACGTCGAAAAAGTGTACGCAAAACGCTGGGTGAATGATTTTGAGTTTTATTTAATCTAATGGGTTGGCTATCATGAACTCACCTGGAAACCTGCCCCACAACCTCGCCTGGAAGCTAAAGGTGGATTACGAGAAGGAGACCATCGACTTCGCCTGGCTGTATCAGTCTACAAGAGTACGAAGGCGCCCATCGCGAAAGAAGAAAACTCCTAGCAGGCGTAGCGCGCGGATGATAGTGAATCTTAAGTTCGCCGCGCACTTAGTATGTACTGACAAATTAATTTTATTTTTTCTAGACCAGGTGGACAAATTCAGAGCATGTCTACTGTATTATGGAAATTCCTCTCTGTACTGTACCTGCTTTGTGGCTATTAGTCTCGTGACCCGACTAATAACGTACAATTTATACTATAAATACTGAACTGTACAAACTAAACAAGGCCGGCAAGCGATTGTTTTTGTTGGTGTTACATTGTGAGTGTTGCACCACTCTGTTTGCATTCATTTCACATTTTTACAGTCCTGAAGGTCAAGTAAGCTTACAACGCTCTGTGAGTTCATAATGATGTTGCTCTGCCTCCTCGCATTTGCTGCTGCCAGTGTAGTGGCAAATATTGTCGTAGATGACCACACTTGCCATAGGAGTAGCGGCGGCTGTGAGCCCAAGAGTTTATGCGAGTACAATTACAACTTCGGAGACCTTAGTTTCGACCAGTCCTGCCGTGTCAAGGACGGTGTAAACTTTTACCCTCAGCAGATTCACTTGGCATTCGCTGGAATTGAGACCGGTACGGCCATGGCAGTGTCGTGGGCAACGTTCGAGAACGTGACCGATAGCTCCGTCTGGGTAGGAAGATCAGAGGACAAGCTTGAATTGGTCGACACCCTCGTGTCTAGTGATAGCTACTACAGCGACGACGAGTACAATTTGTTCCACCACCACGCGACGATTACAGGTCTCAAACCGCATACTAAGTACTTCTACAAGGTTGGTAGCAGCGGTGACGAGAAATACACAAGCGACGTGAGTTCGTTCGTGACGGCGCGGGCGGCTACGGACGACAGCACTTTCAACGTTCTAATTTACGGGGATCTCGGGGACGGAGAGAATTCGGCTGATACGATCGCGGCTATCAACAACATGACTTCAGACGAAATTGATCTCGTCTACCACCTGGGAGACATCTCATACGCTGACAACGACTTCTTGGAGGCGAAGCAAGCCGCTGGTTTCTTCTATGAGGAAGTTTACAACAAGTGGATGAACTCCATGATGCCACTTATGAGTCGTGTCCCGTACATGGTTTTGGTTGGGAATCACGAAGCTGAATGCCACTCTCCGAGGTGTCAGGCCTCTCGCTCAAAAAGCAAAGCGTTGGGAAATTACACGGCGTATAACACGCGATTTAAGATGCCATACGGAGAGAGTGGTGGGACATCGAACATGTGGCATTCCTTCGACCATGGTCCGATTCATTTTACTTCGCTATCGCCCGAGTCTGATTACCCAAACGCACCGGCAAATGCATTTACAATATGGACCAAAAACGGCAACTTTGCTGATCAATTGAGTTGGATCGAAGCGGATCTCAAGAAGGCAGACGCTAACAGAGAGAACGTGCCGTGGATTTTCGTTGGGATGCATCGGCCGATCTACAGTGTTCTGATTTCTGAAAACGACGTCCCCATCGCCCAGACTGCAAAAGTCCAGGCGGCATTTGAAGATTTACTACTCAAGTACAAGGTGGACGTGGTGCTGACAGGCCACAAACACTATTACGAGCGGCACTTGCCCATCGCGAACAACAAGGCTGTACTGGATGGCGTCTCTGAAGACTTCAAAGTGTACGAGAACCCTCAGGCTCCTGTGCATATTCTAAGCGGTGGAGCTGGCCAATCCGAAGGGCTATCCTTTTCACCAAAGCACACTTCGTCGTGGAACGCCGTAAAGGATTATGAGCATTTTGGTTACTCGATGCTAGAGGCGAATCGCTCAACGCTGGTGTGGAAATACATTCTAAGCTCGGACCGGACCGTTCAAGACGAGTTTGTCATGTACAAGGCCGACGCCACGCAGTTAGACGCTACTGGTGGCGTGTCATAAGTCAATTAAAACTGCTCAAAGCACTTTGCCCAATCGCTCATAAGGGAAAATGCCAATTAGGGGCCGGTGACCAGTTAAGGGCCGGATTCGGTTAGCCAATAGGCAATTCGGAATTTCAGGCTTATCTATTTTCATTGGCCACTACTAAGGTATCATATAAGAGATTACTTAGCAACCCATAGTGAAATCAAGCGGCCCTTAATTGGCACGGCCGTCACATTTTATGCACTGTTTTAATTTGTCCTACTGAACGCACCATAGCTGATGTAAAACAATTCAATAGCCAGGGAAATATACAATTGTGTCAGCTTTTGATTGATGCCAAGGCCATATTTTGCTTTTTACTAGATCAAAAGATACAATCAAAACAAGAGAAGGTTGCTTTGAACGGCCCTTAATTGGCATTTTCCCTTACTACATGTATATGTACCTGCTACTTGGAGATCGCTTTGGAAAGGCGCTACATGTATGCTCTTATGTAAATTTTGAAGTGCATAATTTTTTGTGAACAGATGCAGTCAAATCTAAAAATACCTCAAACATGTACTCTATTCATTGTACTCGTAGTGCTTCGGTGCGACGTGTCCGTGTGTAACACACGGATGTGTTCACGTCTGGCTATTCATACCGTATTCAATGGAAATTCTGAATGCATTCGTGAGCATTGATTGCGATTCACAATTTGCGAAGCGTGAATGTGAGCTTACCGGTGATTACATTGTACAGTACTCTACCCCGTTTTCGCGGGGGTGGACCACATAGGATTTCCAAATTTTTACGATTTTAGCAAACAAATTAGAGAGTGACTATATTGACCGACTGAGTTAACCTTCTCCTACAAATTTCTGACGCGCTCCCATCCGTACGATGTATACAGTGTGTACCATGTATACCATTCAGCCTGACAGCCACTAAATTTAACGATCGTAAGGCTGCAGGAGGGGGAAATGGATCTCCGCGTCCGAGCCGTCCAGAAGAGGCCGCTAACTGGGGCTGTCGCGCGCGAGATCGACGAGAGCGACAGCAGCGATTCTGAGTCGCCCCGAGAAGACTCCCAGGACGACGTCTGGCCCCCAACACCCGCTGCGAGCGGTGCTGGTTCGGGTGATGGAGAGTCTTCCGAGGCTTTCAGTGTGTCGGATGTAACCGATTTAACCAGCAGCACTAGCGAGGGTGGTCCCCCCGCACGCGTGGTGGCATTACCACCCAACACGGTGGAGTTTGCCTCGTGGGAGGCCTTCGACGAGTACCTGGCTGCGTATGAAGCCCAAACGTTTCAAGTATGCGAGATTCATTCAAGATTTAATGAACGGATGTCTGACCCCGCTGTCCCACTAATTTTGTGCTATCTGTCTTGTAGATATTCAGGGCTCGCTCTAATACCAGCGTGGCAGAGCGCAATGCCAGGATTGACAAGTCACAGTAAAAAGCAGCTAAAATACCAGCATCGTGGGAACAGTATTCGAGGACGTTCGTTTATACGCACTCAGGGAAGTACAAGTCTGTAGCTACGAAGCGGCCACGCCAAGAGACTCGAGCACAGGGCTGCAAGGCGCAGGTACATATATGTCGGCCTGGTCGGGACTGGTCGGGTCCAGTCGGGGTCATTCGGGTAGTTCACTGACTGACAGTGGTTATATATGCTCTACAGATTAATGTCTGCGTCCAGGTAGTTGATACAAAGAATACGACGTTTGCTGTGCGGATCACTCGTTGCCGACTAGAGCACAATCATCGTCTGACAAGCCTGGCTTTCTCTTCACATCCATCGAAACGCATTATCCTCGACGAGTCAACGCTAACTACAGTTGATCTACTTCGAAAAAAAGGTGTCAAGAAGTCTGGTATCATCAGCCACCTAATGAAGCACACCGACAGTAACCCCACCCCAAAAGATGTGCAAAACCTCGTCCAGAAACTAAAGGCTCGCGAACAACGCGATGGGCCTTCAAGCCCTGACAAGCGGCTTAAGAAGTGGATGAAGCAATTTGGTGATGTGCCAGGGAACGTTGGTCGGTTTTTTTTGGACGACGTTGGTGGCAAGGTAGAGTGAATGCTTTTATCAGGTCTAATGTCAATTCATGAAGTTAACATTTGTTGTTTTGTGTGCTATTGGATACGCAGAAATTGCGACTTGCATCACATTGCAAACAAAGCACATGCGAACACTATTCGACCAATTTCCTGAAGTTCTGATGATTGACGCAACGCACGGGACGAACCGGTCTAAATATAAAGTTTTTTCATTCATGGCACACGATACGTTCGGCAAGGGCCAGTTTGTGCAGCACGCGCTGCTTCAAAATGAGCGCTATGAAACCCTGTTGACAGCGATAGAGGAATTCAAAGCGAACAATCCTGCGTGGTCAAGACTTCAATGTGTGCTGGTGGATAAGGATTTCACAGAACTTTCCGTACTTGAAAAGGCATTTCCAGGGGTGACAGTCTTACTTTGCCAATTCCACGTGCTGAAGTACCTACGGGAAGAGATTGCTTCAGCTGACTACGGATTTTCGAGGTCTCAGAAAGAGCAACTTGGCGGTGTTGTGAGCTTACTTGTCTACGCAAAAACGGAAGCAGAGTACGACAAACGCCTCCAGTACATGGTGCATCTTGCGTCGATTGGTTATGCCGGTCCAGTTGCGAATGATCGATCTGGTATCGTAGTCGGTGTGGAGTCGGGCTCAGTCGGTGTGGATTCGGGCTCAGTCGGTGTAGAAGTCACAGATCATGAACTGGAAGATATTTCTTCTCGCATTGATAAACATCCTTTTGTGAAGTACTTTTGAAAGAATTGGGACAGCTGTCGTGAGCTCTGGTGTGCACATAGGCGCCAGAATACCGTCACACTCGGCAATAATACCAACAATCGCCTAGAAGCCTCTTGGAAGCAGCTTAAAGAGTGGGTGGATTCGTTTATGGGGGTGGATGAGTGCATCGCTCCGACCATGTACTATCAAACGTTACAAGAGCGATTGTTCATTGCAGAAGTATACAAGAATGTGACCGTCCAGCATCCTGATTACGACAGCGAGATGACACTGGTGGAGAATATTGTCAGTGAGCATGCTTGTGAACTTACATTCGGGCAGTATTCGTATGCTATTGGATCTGCGTCGTACACGTTTTATGAGGGGTGCCCAGACGTGTATTTTATCAAGAGTATATCTACAGCTGATGACGCGCTGGACGAGATGAACGCCGAGTATTCAGTTACTAAGCGCGAATGGAAGTACTCCTGTCTATTCATGTGCACGAGATTGCTACCCTGTCGACACGTTTTCTACCTCCGAAAGGCTCTTGGTCAGGAGACAGTCATCCCCACACTACTGTTAAACAGGCGGTGGCTGTTGTCTACTGTGCGTGCGGCGATTGAAAATTCAAGTGTCGTCTCTGACACAGCGGAGCCAAAGTCTTTTGAGGTAAAAAATGTGATGTCCTCACAGGCGAGACCGTGGGACTCGAACCGCAAATATCGTGAAGCACTGCAATTTGCATCCCAAATTTGTGACACCATGGCGGGACTCGGCATGACGCAGTATAAAGAAGCGATGCAGTATCTTCAAAGTGTGGCTGGGCGGTTCAAGAGAGGCAAATTCGAGGATCCCGGTGTGCCAATTTTACCACCAGCTGAATCTGAGCGTCACGGTTCGACTAGCAACTCGCGCGATGATGCGCTGTCGCCGCCACTACTTACTGGTCACGATCCGACTGCACGGCCGACTCACCACGTGTCGGCAGAACTGCTTACTCGTCATGCGGATACAGCAAATGTGAGTCATGTATCCCCAACTGCCTCTGAGTCTGACCATGCCACAAGCTGCAACTCCGTCGAAACAACACAGGTTGCAGATTTATCGGGCCAGTCGGGGGCATATCAGGTCCAGTCGAGGAAGAATCGGGGTCCAGTCGGGGAAGAATTGGATCCAGTCGGGGAAGAATTGGATACAGTCGGGGACGTTGATATAAGCACACTACCACCAGCAACGGAGGACACGCCATTTGTGATAGCGAGTCCTCCAAGATCGCGAGGACGACCAAGACAGACAGCCAGATCAAAGAAGGCAGCTCGTAAAAAAACTGTCATTGTAGCTCAAGAAGACTCAGAGCTGTACGCTTCGAATTTAAGCTTGGCGTCCGTGGATGCAGCGCTGTCTTCGGATGCAACATACATATCGTCAGCTGCAGTTGTGAACAAGTTCAAAATGGGGGAGTATGGCTTCAAGTTCAAGACACCTACAGCACGAACAATATCGAGCTTGCCACCCACAATCGCTTTGATACCAGCAGAGTCGATCACGCGGATATTGCGCCCTGAACAAATTGCCATTTGCAGGAAAAAGGTTTCGGCTCTGCAGTCGAAGCACAAAGGCCTAGCAGAAAGTGCCGTGGCGCTGGATATTCCAGGCTTTGGTGCGTACTCAACGAGTACAATTGGGATCATGAATAGGTGGCACAGGGCAATAAAGGTGGTAAAACAGGTCGAGAAGGCTGTGAAGTGGGTCGAAACCATTGACTTCACACTCCCAATGCCTGCTCCGTTTCAAGTGGTGCTACAGACGGATATGCTGTCAAAGATGCAGTCAATCCCGCTTTTGTCTGCAAAGGTACGTCGACGAAATCATGCCATCACTACAACACTTTCTAACTAAACGTTATGTTTGACAAACAGGCAGAAATTCTAGATCTCGTCGGAAAAAAACAGCTAAGCGACGATACCATGAATATCGTCATGTCCAAGCTGTTCGGAGAACGAAATGATGTCGTCATTGTGGATCCAGGTGTTATCGGTTCCATTGATAATGAAGATAGTCCTGTCAATACCAGAGCCTTCGCTTCAATTTTCGCGGGCAAGACGAACGAGAAAATTCTGATCCCTATATGCTGCAGCAACACGCATTGGTGCTGCGTAATGGTGAACTTAAATCTGAATGATGTGTGCATCTACGACCCAATGAGCTCGACCTATGTCGTTAGCGTTCGAGCGATCGCAGAAAAGC